ATTCATTCGTCGCTTTGGCAGATATCACCAAACTAATAACATCTGTAAAGGCAGTTAATACAGAATATGATATATTCCTGTCTATATTATAGATATATAATAGAAATAAATGTGGCCCAAATATAGATTTCGGGTACTCCCAACTGGACCGGTCTCATTTCTGACGTTGAAAACGAATAAACATCACCTTTGTCAAATTTGAGCGAGACACACTGCATTCTGTTGCTGCACCCTATTCGCCAGATTCATCTCCCTTCAAGTTCCTTAACTTGAAAAAATGGCTCAGTGGTCAAAGGTTTTCCAACAATGAAGAAGTGATGTCGGCAGTTGGTGGCAAGAGAGTTCCTATTATAAAAACGGTATCGAACTTATTGAATGTCGCTGGGAAAAGTGTATAGAGCTGCAAGGAGATATCTGTACATCTTTTTTCAATTTCAAAATCACAATTTAGTTTCATTTCACATTGAAATCGTCACAAGTTGTTTGCCCTTCTTCCCTTCTTCCAAGTTTCAAAAATGCCCTGCGTATTCCGTCGTAGTCTTTATTCATCGGTATAGCGCCCTAATAAGAGAGCTAGCTTTATTGCTATCTGTAGTGTATTGAAGTATTGGTATAATATCAATGACTGATCTTCATTCGTTATGAAATTGCAGGCGAGAGAAGACGTAATAAGTGAGTCTTAGTGGTTTAGTTCATAGTTGTGGTGATTAACCTCAAGTGCAATATACAAACTGTGACACAAACGAATACTTCTCTAACAATCTGAATGTTGAGGGAATGTTATCGATATTGCCTGATTTTTGAAAATTATTCAGTCCTCACCGATGCTAATTTTTGACCATCAAAGAAAGTCTATTTGGAGTTTTTATGTGCGAATATCGAAATTTACTCTTCGAGCTCTTCAGAATCAACCAAGACAATTTTGATAACATAGTTGTTCTGATTAGAAAGTCTTTGAAATAATGATGCCTTCTCTACTTGTGAACTACAAGACTAAAATCTCAGAAAGACTGGCTTTGCAAATAACGCTTGACGAACAAGCGTTAATAAGATAGTAAAGCATTATGTGAAAGAATTTATGATGCACTGTTTGGAACCTTTGGTGTAGTAATGAATATTACTGGAGTTTTTTCCCAACACCAAATCGTTATTTTTAACATCTCGACACGTGTTTCGATCACCAAGTGATCATCTTCAAAGAGGAAGAAGGAGTTTTAATATCCAGTAATATTCATGTGAAAGAATGTTCAATAATTGTCACCATTAAAGTGTTGGTAAAAATTATCCAATATGAACCGCCAAGTCTACAGTCCACGTGGAATAGTTCGCTACCAGTTCATTTTTATGTATCGGTTTTTTTGGCCTTTTGAGTGTGCCGATAAATAGAGAGTACACAATATCGTTTACTTCGACTATACCTGCATCTAAAGTATCGTCGTTTCCGAAAGTCGAGATTTCGTTCATTCTCAACCTAAACTTTTTCTTCCTGATAATATCATCTACACTACCCCTCGAGAAACTATTACTGACTAGTATTTTCTGTATTGTCCATTTTTCTTTTGTGAACCTCTCATGTATGAGGTGAAAAGTCAAAAGACGATGCACTAGAAAACTAAGCCCAGCACGTTTGTGCTGTCCACAGTTGTGTGAACCTAGAACATGTTTACATACCGCCTTCGCAATGTCTACAAATTATAATGAAGGTGTTATTAAGGGAGGGAATGAAGGAATGAGAAAATACATACTTATCTTTATTGAATGCAAATAATGAATTAATGAACAAGATTTGATTGAATTATGTAGCCACGTTATAAAGTGAGCAATGAACTGCGAAAAAGTTCTAGAATTCGACAGAACAGTTAGGAGATAATTAGTGTAGTCACATCAAAATACATATTTTGTGCTTCTCAACTGAATAACGCCTAAAAAAATTAGTATTTCACTACTTTGTTGAATGCAGTGTCAGTTGTCAACAAAGTAAAAATACATATAGCACAGATCAACAAACACTGAAGATACCACAAAAAATACGCCAAAATTATAATGATGGGTGATCAGTCTAATTAAGAGAAGATTATCTTTGGTTAACGAGCTGCATAAATGACTCTAATTATCCAAATTGTAATCTGTAATTCAAATGGCAGAAACACTTAATGAATTCATTGATCGTAACATTTCTAGGGCATTATTTAGAATGTTCATTTTAATTCCCTCTTGTCTTGCGAATGAAAGAGCTGTATCTTAGAAATCAATTGCGAAATAAGGATTCAACAAAAGAGCTTTAATTTCGACTTTGAAAGTTTTAGAAACAGTCGAACAGGAACAAAGAAGTATTTATTGTATTGTTCGGATGTTCTTTGTTGGTCTCGATTGCCAGTTTCGCACGTTTTGGTTATTTATATTGTTGATTATTCTAAAAATGCTTTTGCATGTCAGCTCTCTTGGAGGATACGAGTGAATATTGTAGCGGAAAATAAATGAGGGAAAATGATATTCACGAGGAAAAAGGAATGGTGAAAGTAAAAAATGTAAAGTCAAATCTGACTAAAATCAAATGACTGTTCATTTCACAATATGTCTTACTTTTGAATGAAAATTTGTCAAAGAAAATTTTTATTTGCTCGAGTAACGAAAAATACTTATTCTTTATTAATAAGAATTCGATTATATATTTTTTTCTTTTAGGTCCTGATGCTTGTCGATTTCAATAATAATTCTTATTAAATTAAATACAACAATTCGCATATAATTGTTAATTCATATTTCGAAGTTATATGGCAGTATTCAATCTGTGGGATAATTGCTTTCCATCTGTCACTTTCAATTTCACTTGCTCTGATCAAATGGGGGAGATAGTCTTATTATTCTGAATTGAATACGATCTTCCCTTTTGTCAATAAAACAATGATAGAATATTTTTCTGGGAAAAAAGGTGTTGGCTTTCTACTTATCCATCTTCATACAGAAAATGTGGGGAACTTCCAAAGAAAGATTAAGCAATTAATTTCGTGTCTTACAGTGTCTTACAGACACTGTAAGAAAAAGTCCTCTCCCAACAACTACTTTCATATGAACATTGAATAACACGAAAGAAAAAAC